AAATAATAATAATGTGTTAGTCTGTTGCTAAAAGTTGTTTCTTCTGTTCATACCGATATGCGAGTGGTAATTTGCTGTTTGTGGTAGAATTTGTTTAGCATACTTGAAGGATGATTGAAAAAATCTATTATCTTGTTGTTTATATCTATTAATCACAAATTCATGGTTGAAAAAAGAACGAGAAATTCATTTGTTGTTTTACGTGTGGTTAAAATAATTTCATGCACAATGAGAGATATATTCAAAGCATGCTTGTAATGTATTACTGTGGTAATGTGAAAGAGATGTGAAAAGAGATAAAGAACTAAAGCTATAGCTGTGATACAAGAGTAGAAACGGAGCTGGCTGTGTGCAATAATGTTAATATTGTTGTGCAGGCTAGGTTTTTTTCTTGTTCGTGTGGAAGAAACTAAGATTTTGGATCACAATGGATTCTCTCCGGAGGGAGATGGCGAGCCTGAGCCCGGACTGAACTTTACAGAGGAATTTACTCTTCTTCCTCGACGGAGACTCCCAAGTGGTAACACACAAACCACAAACAAAAGAGAAAAAGAACTAGACTAAGAATTTTTGACATGACGAATGACCGAAGACAAAAAGACAATTGAACATTGAGCTCAAAGGGACTATTTTGGGTTTTTTTTTTGTTTTGCCGGGTTATTCTTATTATTGTTATTATTACCATTACTACTGTCAATGTGGAATTTGTGTCTTGTTTATTTCATTTTGTGTAAAATAATAACCGTTGCTGCTCAGATTCCTGTCTCCAGCCATTTCATTCCATATTTGCCTCGCTTTCTATTGTAGCCCTGCAGAACCTAGCAACTGGTCCGTAGTTTGGCTGTCCTAAACTATTTAAAATGAGTCAGTGGTTACACTTGGAAAAGGTAAAGCCCCTGGAGGAAGTGATCATTAAAAAGAAAGCAAAGTTAAATGAACAGTAGCAAATATTTGAAAGCATATCACTACACAGACATAAGCAAAGCACTGCCCCTTAGTTATAAAAGTCAGTTAGAATTTACAAACAAAATCTTTAAAAACTTTAAAATATACCTGGACAGATGGGGCACTCAAAAGTGTGGTGTTTCTACATGTACGATGTACCAAAGATGTAAACTCCAGGTCATTGTAATCAAATCTGTTGCCGTAGATCAAGGAGCAGATAATATTGGCAGTTGCATTGTTTAATGATTGGTTGACATCAAATTCTCCTGCAAAGAAAATTACAAAAAGTTCATTTGTATCAAAAAGTTGCAGTTTCTGTCAGTTCACTGTTTACCTTTGAACTGTTTAAAAGCTTCCATAAGGTAATGACACTCCTCAATGATTTTGTCCTCAAATTCTTTCTTTCCCATTCCAAAGTCTTTCAGGTTGATCATTGAAAAGCGCCTCATCTCTTTCCATGTGTCATCATTAGCCCACACAATACCTGATTTGACAGAAACAACTTTCAGTAATATAGATAAAGATTATACATAGTTGCTAATTATGACTCACACTCAAATGTGTTTGCAAAAGTCTTGTCTTAATTACGCACCATGTCCTTGAAAATGCTCATCAATAATTGGTGTCAGATCCCTTTCTCCAAACACTTCAGCATAGTCAACAAGTGCCTCCTTTACTGCATTGTATCCTACCAGGACCACCACTTTTTTGGTCCCCAGATAGATGGTGAAAATAGATCCAAATTGTTTGGATAGCTAAAAACAACAAAAAATGTTCATATATCTTTGTTTAAAATACATTAAAATGATCAGATACATTGAAAGAAAATTCCTCCAATGACTTCCTCACCTCCAGTAACGTGACATGTGTTTTCTTCAGGTACAGCTGCAGGAAGTTCCCAAAAATGGGAAGTGGTGTGGGTCCTGGAGGCTCCTTTCCATCGTTTTGGGTTATGTTAGAGAAAAGGCAGTGGATCAATAGAAGGACTGTCAGACACAAAACAATTGAATAAATCCCCTGGAGTAAAACATATAGCATATCCATGGCTTAAGCTCAGTGACTTCTGTTGGTTATTCCAACTGACAGACAGGATGACTGTGTCATGGTCAAGGTTCAAGGTTCAAGGTTCTTTATTTGTCACATGCATAGTTATACAAGTATAACACACAGTGAAATGTAGCCTGACACGCTATATCTACATATAGTATATACACTGGGTGAATGTGCAGTAGTAGCAGCAAGCAGGTGAATTCTGTACATTAATATGAATAGACATCTGACTATTTTATGGTCCGGGTGAGTGCTGGGCCTTCCCACAGGGCCGGCATTTCCACCCCTAGGCAGAGCCGCCACAGCATGCTGACAGGCTGCACCTGAGCATAATTGGAATTGCCGGCTTCTTAAGACCAGCGCTCAGACTCACACCTCGCCAGATCATCGGCAAACCTTTGTCAGTCAGGGCTTTCACAGTTTCTCCACTCTCAGAGGACCTCTGGACGTTGTCAAGCCGCTGCCGTCACCTGTTAGGATTTCAGCGCTGGTCTGTTTACAGTTTCTCCGTGCCTGCCTGCCTCCCTGCCCAGCGCTCAGGATAATCATCTCCCCTCACCCAGATTTCCCAGTGTCGGGTTTTTCATTCAATCCACAACAGCCCCGTGGCTTCACCATGGACACTTCCAGTGCTCCTTCTAGTTTTGTTTCATAGAAATGCCAAGTCGGCCATGTGTGTTTCAAAGTAAAGGATTGTGAATTTCTGAGTTAGAACTGTGTGACTCCAAGCGGAGTATTATGAATCATAGTGTGCCTCTAAGCTAAAGTTATATCTAAATTCATGCTCCAGAGTAGAGTTTCTAGCGTGTGTTAAGTTTATTTAGGTTGCCGCTAGCACTCAGTTTCTCATGAGTGTTTTTAAGTTATTCCTTGTTTACGTTGAGCAATTCTAAGTTATGGTGAGCACTTTGAGCACCTCTCACCGTCGTTCGCTGTTTACATTAATTGCACCACTGTAAATAAAGCTTTGTCACCCTCAGTCCCAGCACCTCCGAGTGTTTTCTGCCTTAGAGTCCGTTTTCCTACTGGCCTCAGGCCGTGACAGACTGAGTGTTTTAGTGAAGTCCAGATAACCTCGTACATATTTGTTTTGTACTTTGGTCTGTAACAACAGATAAGTAATCAGGAAAGGACCAAAACATGGGATGCAATAGCCAAGTTAACTTTTGTTTAGTGTGAGTAAAAATTACCCAATTTAAAGTTAAATATTCTTAAAAGAATTCTCAAGTATTTTTTGAATATGAGTCAAGATGGCACTGGTGTTTGTGGCCTGCCATTTACCTGTCTTTCCTGTCCTGTTTGTTGTTATTTTGATAACG